CCCAACTCACGCACACCCACACCCACACCCTTCGCATTTGCTTTGATGACAGCATTTATTTTCTTTGCCTAATTTCAAATTTGAGCATCATTTATTGCACGTAAAGTGGTCGAACGTTGGTATGAATATTTCAAGATACCAATCATCAACATTAGTCATATTGATCATAAGTTAGATCATGAACTAGTAACTGGGGATATTAAGAGGAAGGAGTATTCAATAAAAATTCTTCTCGATACTGTTGAGAAGGCAATCCAAAAACGGAAACCGAACGAAACTCACGTCTCTATGTATAAATCAAATTGAGAACTATTAAGGACATAGCTTTTATTTACATGTAGGTCTTAGTAAATGTACGCTGATTCATTAATTTTATTTTAAAATTTAGGAAGTCATCCATAACAATTTTTATTAGATTTATTAGAAGGAAAAATGTATTATTCTTCTATTTTTATTTGCAACATTTTCCATGTGTTCTCAACATTCTCAAATTATTACCGTTTCAATATGTGAAGAATTTCACTTTTGGGTTACCGGAAAACAATATCATTCGTTATGCATTGATATCTTTAGTGTATCATATCCATAGTGTGAAACTTTTCGGCAAATGATTCGTCATCATAAGATAGAATTCCGCTAATTTACTATTCAAAATCAGCGACAGGAAAACTTTTTTTTTGGATTCATTTCAAAAAGCCACTATTTATACAGAAAGCACAGTATTACAACTGTTTCACGTATTGCATTGAATCCCACATATTAAAATTGTAGAACTTAACATCGTTCCTTGCAGAATACGATAGTCGAAGAGACAATGACACACAGTATAATAAGTCCCGAAATCAAATTACTAACAACGAAAAATTCTATCATCTACATATTAAAAGTTTCCTTTCAATATCGAAAGACGTTATTATAATGTTTTCAGATTACACAACCGATAAAAAAGGATTTCGAAACTACGTCAAATTAGACTTTTCGTTAATAATTGGCGATTGGGTGTGTGTGTGAGTGTGCACTATGATAAGAAAAAACCAAGCCTAAACCCACACTCACCCCAAAATAACTAAAATCAATAGGTTTTCTTAAATTTGAGCGATATCTTTTTACTAGAATTTCGACTAGAAAGCTCTGATAAAATGTTGACCCATTCTGCCGAGAGATCCCTTCAGAGCATTAATAGAACAGGCCAATCTCGCTCAATTCGCGATGATATAAGCCTTTTATAGTAGTACGTCTCCCAAACCAGACAGTAAAGTTTTTTTTTCGATCACAAATCAACAAAATAAAGTATATCAAAGGATTTAATATTAAACGAGATACACTGTAGTTAATCAAGATTTATACTATTCATGCAGTAAGTGTGAAAAGTCACTGCCTCAACGCTGGTAGATTTATGCAGTTGTCAGAACAGAAGAAGGCACTTAACATACGTATTGCCAAAGTGCAATCTTTCTTCGATACTGCACATTTCATCACAGTCTTTTAGTGCACTATTAATACAAAGAGGATTCCAATATTATAGTAAGTGAAAACATGTCTCTTAGAGAACAGGTTTCATCTAAACAGCTCATTTTTTTATATTCACGTTTCTAAGAGTTTGTCGCATTTTAGTATGCAAGTAATTGCATCGAACATTTTTTAGCGACCCAGTATACTGGAATAACATGGAAACCTAATGGCAAAAGAGTGGCTGGTGGCAATGGCCCAGGTAGTAATCTTAATCAACTGAACTCCTCATATGGTGCTTTTGTTGATTTAAATGATGTCCTCTTTTTTACTGACTATTTTAACAACCGAGTTGCTAAATGCGATCAAGGAGCATCACGTGGCCTTATTTATGCTGAAGGCCAATGTGGAACAAGTAATCAAGACAAACTATGTAATCCTACTGCCATCACATTTAATAAAGAAGGTACTCTGTTAGCTACTGTCCAATACGGTTGAAGTAGAAGCGTACTCTATTTGAAGAAAGGAACTACCATAGTTGAAACAGTTACCACTGTCAATACGTCTCTTTATGGCATCGCTTGGGATGAGAATGAAGAGTATCGTTTTCTTGGGCATGATCATGAGCATCGTGTTGTCAAATATACAAACGAGGGAACATTCGTCAGTGTTGTTGCTGGGAGAAATGGTGCAGAACCCACTCTGGACGAACTTGAATATCGTGAAAAGGATATTCAAAAATCTCGTTTCTTCTTGTAAAAACTTCGAAATAAAAACAGTAACCGTGAAATTGATATAGTAAACGAAGAGAACTGGTAATGTTTGAGCAGTATACTCAACATTGTTTATCACTTGTATTTTTCAGCTCGAGACTTTACGGTCGATGATGATGGATTTGTCTATGTAGCAGACTCCAACAACCATCATATGATGAAATGGATGATAAATGCCACTAAAGGATTTATTTTCGTAGGTAGTACTGAGAGCGGAAATCGAACAGATCAATTCAATATACCAGGTGGCATTATTCAAGGTAAAAGCGGAACACTATGTAGCAGATGAGCATAATCACCACATCATATGTGTACTATCACAGGTGGTCACGGCCTTGGCAATACTTTCTATCAACTTAACAATCCCATTTACTTGGCGTTTGACAGCGAAAGAAGTTTGTATGTGAATAATTCGAAGAACTTTCAAGTTCAAAAGTTCGCAAAAGTAGCCACTCCACCGAGTTCTAATGGCTATAAGTACAATTCTTCTAAAAAGTGCACATTGACTTTTAGCTGTTTATCACTGTTGATTTCATATTTAAAATTATTACAAGAAAGATATTATGCAATGATTTAGAACAGTACTCAAGAAAAGAAACGAGATGGATTGATTCGTATTATCTTGTTTGAATATAATATTCAGGATTGGTGTCATAAAATGTCTCATTTCATTTTTATGAAATCCAATAGAAGAGCCTTCCGTATCGATTTCAAATCTCAGTTATTTTTTAAAATAGTCTGAACTTTCAGAAAGTCTTTGCATAAGAAAAAATGCTTTTCGCAGGAACTAAATCAAGAGCAACAATTTTCAACTCAAAGTTATTGTGCAGTGGCACTTTCTTTTCCAAATTCATGTCATCTTGCAAAAATATCACTTGGTCCTGAAATATACAACTACATATCCAGACAAAAAAATAGTAAAATATAATTCAATTTCCTTAAGCGAAAGACAATCCCTACGTCAATATTAATATGTATTCATTGTTGCTAGGTGCAGGCAGAACATATGTTAGTGAACGATTGAAATCATTATGATACACGTTTATTCTGCGACTGGTTCAGAAGATGGAAGAAGATGTGCGATTATAAGAGAGAAAAGCTATTTTTGTAGAAATGATGACAAAAGCTTAGAACAAGAAGTTCTATGCTTGATTAGCATTTTCTTTCTATATGAAGGTACCTGAAGGTTCATAGAAAATATATTGATTCATCAAATTACATGAGTCTTTTTCTAGAGTATAAATATAGTGATAACGAAAAAAAAAGACTAATTACCAAGACCATATGAGAGACAAAAACCAATGTGAAATCCGTAAGAGTCTATAAATATGCTATTTCACTGTCAAACATAGTAGTTAGAAGAAACGAACGCATCGGTCATAATCTCAAGTTGATCTGCGGTGAACTTTTCTCAATGTTCATCTAATAGATTATGATGCGTGCAGTGGAATTGAGACAAACATGTCTTTTTTGATGTCTAAATATAAAGAATATATTATGTATGTTTACATAATAAGAATTAAAATATTGTTTACTTGTATGGGATCAGGATCCTGTGAATGTTCACAGAGAAGTACTAATGCATCTGGTACATACAGTGAAATATCATATGGACTCGAAAGAATAATCGCACAAAGGCCTAACACACCTAATAATCATAAACAAGAATAAGGCATATCAAGAACTCAAAAATTAGTATTGAATTAAAAACTTAGAAACTATCTTTTCATTAAAAATCAATCATTTAGTTTGTTTCATCGATAAAATATACTTACCACCATGCCGTTTGATAATATTCTCTCTCGATATAACTTTCTTGCCATCGATTTTCGTAAAATAATTTGTCTTACTCATAACATCAAAATATTTCTGAAATACAAAAGAAACTATGAGAACGGTCGTGCACAAGAGAACATTAATAATCCCACAAGATCTTCAGCCGTTAGTTCAATGTAACCACATTGGTAGAAACCGGACAAGGTCGTTGATGCAATTATTCGCACTTCCAATTGTTTATCGAATAGACATGTGGGCAAGAGTTTATGCAATCGTTTGGCATATGGGCGTGCATTGAATAGATTGGAAAAGACAAAATTTTGAATAAATTCAATGGCTGTTCGACGTGCATGCCATTTAGAACTTGTACAAGTCTAAGTAATGAGAAGAAGAAACGAATTTGAAAAGATCTATTTAGATTTAACATGCCTTTTCTAATTGTCCAATGAATACTTCTAATAAGTGTACATGTAAATAGCTCATAGCGATTCGCATTCGACTCTTTGCCAATGTATTTTCGAAGAAATCATGGTTGGCCACAATACTTTCAATTTCACACAGCTGAAGAGAGCATAAACATGTGTTTGACAATCTAGGTGGTGGCAATCTGTAAATGCTTTGATTGCAACATCACACGTGGCTAATTACGTATGTCAAGTATGCATTATTATTTTTACTTAGAGAAATGTAGTGTTTATACTTGAAAAAGGAATGATGATGAAAGAAGCCGTATCTTACAAATTTTACTATCTACTTTTTGAGTTTTCCAAAAGTTCAAATTTCGATATTATTTCTCTGAGATACTTTTGATAAAAATTACCTGAATGTTTAAAGGAATATATTAGCATGTGTAATAACTCTATCTTATCCGAATTACATATACTTACATAGGGAAATAGACGAATTGTTGCACTGTTGACTGGTTGTTGACATCAGTGAAATAAGAATGTATGAATTGGATGACTAGATTTTAAACATAAAAAAGAAAGAAAAGTGGAAATTTTGTGTCATTTGTTTAGTAGCAAACATTGTGAATTTTTTTACCTGTATCGATTAAATTTAATGCTTTGCGAACTTCATGATTGATCTCACCAACATGATCAGAATAGTTAACTAAAGAAATTATTTGTGTAAAACTCGTTTGCTTTCAAAGTAAGACAAAGTAAATTTGTGTATTACCTA